AACTATATATATTTATAAATATTTATAGCCTGCCTTATAAACTATTAGTACCAGATTATAGTAGCTTATATTTATATATTTATCCGGAATTAGAATAGTAATCTCGTTATTTATAAAAAGGTTCTTATAATAATAATCCGTATTTAATTTGAGAATTAAATATATTTGCAAGTTAAATAAAACCCGGAAATCGGTTTATTAACTTATAAGATATTTGTAAACCGTCTTATAAACTATAATAAACGGATTATAGTTTATAAATATATCTATAAACTATAAAAGAATTATATAATTTAAATAAGGGAAATTAGTAGTCCGGATATTAGTTATAAAAAGCAGGTTATAAAAGAAAAGCTATATAAAGAAGGGTTCGATATATAGAGCAGGCTATAGTAAGCCTTGAAAATAAAAAAGCTTATTATAGATCTAAAAGTACTAGATTTTATAAGAGAAATTAATTCGGGTATTCTTTTTATAATTAATTAATATAAAGGCAAAAGTATAATTATATATTCGGATATTTGTTTGAAAGGCCTAATAAAACAAGTTATTACCTATAAAAAGATAAAAGAGATATAGAGAAGGCTTGCGGATTAAAGGAAATATTATATTACCCTTCTTATAATAGACCTTAAAGCAATTACCTATATAGCTAAAATAAAGGGCTCTATAAGCTATATAGTAACCTGTAAATAAACCGGTTATATATACGGGAGCTAGCCGGAAGCAGGAAAGAAAAGCAGGAGGTTATATAATAGGTAAGTTAGTAAAAGAGTCCTCTATAATATAAACTAGAACTATAATAAACGGTTAATAGATCCGCTATTAGTAAAAGCTTGTAATATTACTTATTATCTATCTATATAACTATTCTACTAATCTTACTAATTCTACCAAAATATTATTTTTATAGCCTATACTTTACTAAATAATTCTGATTTATATAAAGCCTTGATTTTACTATTAAAATTAAAGGGAATTAATATATAGTTACTATTTCCTTATAATTAATAATATCTTCAAGCTTATAAATAAGCCTTTCTATTAAATATCTCTACTTCTTTAAATTAATCTTATTCTATAGCTTTTATATAACCTTCTTTATATCCGTAATTATAGTAGAAACAGTCTCTAGCTTTATAATCTCGTTTTTTATTTACTTCTAAATCTTCTTAATTAAATTCAAATTAGAAGAAGAAGATAGCTAATTAATTCTATAAAGACCTTTAAGCTAGCAGAATAAAATAATATATTTCTTATAAATCTTTGCTCTATTCTCTATAAATATAAACTTCTTCTTCTATTCTTTTATAAGTATATTAAGCCAAGAAAAAACTATAGACTTTAAAATCTAATTCAAATATACTATATTATAAATTCCCTTTATTTCCTTCTCTTTTTCTAAAAAAAATAAGTAGAGACTTCCAATCCCAGCTAATTGCCGCCTATACTATTATATTTACTCTTTTGCTCCAATATATGCTTTATAAATAATCTGGATAATTCTTTTTATCCGGCCGATATATAACCTAAATCCTCTCTCTCTTTTCTATCTCAAATATTGCCTTATTACTCTATATAATCTTCTTCCAATCTACTATACCCTACTATTAGTATTTCAAGGCAAATACTAGTCATTTAGCGGCTTGTCTCTTGGAAATAAATAGTCGGCAGCAAGTAATATAGCAGCAATATCCATACTCTCTTATTACCCGACAAATTATAGTTATAAACGCCTCTAAGCAGAGCTCGGCTTTAATAGAGGCCTATAACTTAGTGCAATTAGTTCAAAACTGGGAAACAAATCGGAAAATATACTTTATATCTGCCTGCTTAAAAACAGGCTGTTTTGTCGCCTTGCCCTTATATATGGTACAGGAGGAAGCACCCTTAATAATGCCTTGAATTATAGATCGTTTTAGGCCAGTCTCAGCTATAATTTAATTATAGCTCTTCCCTTACCGGTAAAGGATACGAACTAAGGAGCGAATAGGTGTTTTCCATATTTCTTTTGGCTTATACTCTGTAATTATAGATAGAGAGAGGCAAAGAGGAGTATCTATTACTAATTTTAATAGAGAAAATACAAATTATAAGAAAAATAAAGAGATTTACGGGGGAAAAAGCAGTGAAATATGAGAAAATAAAAGAGGTAGTTATATAGAAGTGGCACTCGCTTAGATATATAGTAAGTAATACTGCAAGCTCTTACTATAGGGCTGGCTTGTCTATAGAAATATCTGTAATTAACTATTATTATTACTGGAAGAAAAATAGGGTATTTAGATTAAGTTCTTATAAGGCAGAATACTACTAGATATAATTACTAGTATTTCGGGCCTATTAACTAGTTAATTAAGCCAGAAAAGGGAAAGGATACAAACTTAATAGTAATAGCAAGTCTTATATAGCTTAGTCCGCTCTATAATAAAATCAGAAGCAGGCCGGTTCTGCTTATAGAAAATATAAAAGCGGGAAGAATCTATAGTAATAAAGAGAGAAAAGAGAAAAAAGTAATATAAGGCCAAGTTTTTTTTTTTAGTATATTCTATAAGATCTCTAGCTTAAGATTTCCTTCCGAGCTTTAAAAAATCGTAATAAAAGCCCTTTATATTTCAGAACTACTAAAATATAAAAAAAGATATTTAAGCTTCTTCTCTCTTATTCTAAGCTAAGCCTTAAGGATTTAAATATAACCGTACTCCGATATATAATTCCCTAAAAGAGGAAGATTCTAATATTTCTTATATAATTCGTTTTTTTATAGAGTTCTGCAAGCTAACTATTTAGGATAGCCTAAATATAGAATAATATAAAAGAAGATATTATATAAATTTACTTATTATTTATTTTTCTTCTTTTTTTTCTTCTTTTTTATCTTTGAGTTTTTCTATTTCTTACTTATATAAGTCTATAGAATAGAAGGTATTATAATTGTTTTTAATAAAAGCCTTTAAAATATCTTGAATTACTAAATTTAAGATATAAGCTATATAAGAAATATCTCTTTGAAATTTAATATTTTCCTTATTATAATACTTTATAAAAGCCTTTAATAAAATATTATTTAAGCTAGTATTATCTCAAGTAATACTAATTATAAGTTAGTTAATAATAATTTTAAATAGAATTAAAATTACTTATTTAATTATATTATATTTAATACTATATTTTTTTAAGATATCTAATAAAACAGAAAGTATATAAATATCTAAATAGATATTACTTAAGTATTTTATAACTAATAAATAAGACTTTAATTTAAAATCTTTCTTTATAAAATATCTAAAATATAATTAATATATCTTTAAATAAAAGAAATTTAATTATTTAATAACTTATATAATAATATTAAGAAAGGCCTTTTAATTTATAGCTATTCAAGTATCTAAAGTAATAAAAAAGATTTCTTAAGTCTTTATATTCTCAAGTAACTCTTTTTTAATTAATAAGCTTTTTTTAATATAGCTTAATTCTAATTTATTTATAAGAACCTTATTATATAAAGGTAGTATTTAACTAATAATATATTAGTATTAAGACTTTAAGTAAGATTAATTAAAGAACTTATATTTACTAATTTAAATAAGTTAAAAGCTTTTTAAAGCTCGGAATAATAATAGCTCTAAAAGATATATTATTAGAAATAATAAAATTTAATAATAATCTTTTAAAGTAATTAATAGTAAAGCTTTTTTTATATTAGCCGGTATATTTATTAAATAGCTAAGCTATAGTAAATTAACTAGATTAACTAGACTAACTTAATATCTCGCTTTTATCTAAAATATATATTAGTTATATTAATTAAAGATTAATATCAATTAATTTACTATTATTCTCATTTGCCTTTAAGCTTAAAAGACTTATAGATTTATGAGAATATCGAAAATAAATATAATAATTACTTATAGAGCCGTATATCCGTTATTTAAGCCAGATTTTCCTAATATAAAATTAATTAAAATCTAAAATAGAACTATAATAATTACTTACTTATATTCCCGAACTAAATACTTAATAGTATATGCTCGAATATCTTCGGGATCTTCTTAAAGGGGATCTAAGATCCTTTCGAAGTATTTAAATTAAAAGAGGAAAGGTTATTCCTTAAATAGTTCAAGTATAAAATCGTCTCGATTTTGAATTAAGTTAGTTTTAATTAAGGATTACTGAGACATTTTCGAATATATCTAGTAAAATAGAGTAACTCTATAGTATAAAGCTTTTTAATAGGTATAGTGGTTAGTATAATATTATATTTTGAAGTTTAATACTAGAAAAATATATTAAAGAAAACGAGCTTTTTATATAGGAAAACTTTTAATTCTAAGTAGTTTTTAATATTTCTTCTGATTAGAGATAATCTATTAATTTCAAAGCACTTATTACTAATAGAGGTTAATTTCTAATTACTTTATTTATAATAAATATGATTTATAAGGGGATGAGAAGTACCGAAAAATCAAGGAGATTAGGTGGTTCGCTTGCTTGGTAAGCGGCGGGCCAGGCCGCGCCTAGTCCTAATTAGGTAAGGTGCGTTCCCGATACGGCTAGACCCCAACCTTAATCTGGCATCAGCTCGGCTACTGGCCCTTGCGCTGTCACGTGCTCCATTAATCAAATTAATTAATTAATAATTGATTAATCTGATTAGATTATAATTAGAATATGATTAATGGCAAAATCCTTTGATTAGATTAGATTAATGGCCATTAATCTAATCTAATCTAATCATTTGACACACTGGCAAAGCCAGTGCTTCTACATCCCAGGGGATCCTTATATCGTAAACGATCGTTGAAGCTCAGAATGTCACTCGACTACTAGTTACTTAGTCACGTAAATTTTGAGCTGTAACCAATTCAACTCCTACGCTTCGTTCTCTTCCAGTCATCCCCAAACTATTTCCGTCAGCGCATAGCAACCATATCCCTTCGCTAACAAACGAGTGAAGGTCACGACCGTTTCAATAAAGATTAACTACGAACCATTTTCTTCTAGCGGGCTAGCTGCTGAATCTGCGGAAAAGAAACAGATTGCCAGAGCGCGAAAGCAGCCAGCGTAAAGCCGTCAATAATTTCAGCCGAAGCAACCAGCGAACGAAACGCTGTCACATCTATAATCTGGTGTGCTGAGATACCTTCGTCCAATACCAAGGAACGAGGTTCCAGCAGTTGTTCGTCTGTGACATGTGCGAGAAAAACGTGGGTGCGTTGAGTTGCAAGTCCTGGGATGGGATGATACCAACCCAGCAGTTGGACCGAGCTACACGTCAAACCAGTCTCTTCAAACAATTCGCGTTTTGCCGCTTGATTTGGAATCTCTCCCGGGTCGATGTTACCCATCGGGAACTCCCACGAAGTACTACCGCTATGCGGACGGTGCTGCCTCTGCAGAAGAAGTCGTCCTGTTGGGGTGACGGGGATGACGGTGGCACTATCCGGGCGATCAAGAACGAAATACGGGTCGGAAGAGAGAAGTTTTGGATCGGGAATGGTGCGTATCTGGAACCATTTGGTCTTGAATACGACTGTTTCGTTCGGTTCGACACTGTAGAAGAGAGGAGACTTGATGTCCCGCTGCCTATCAGGTTCCGCCATAAGCCAGTGAGCCCCACCTACTCGATGATAGGAAATCCCAAGACTCTTGGCATCGTCCGCTAACACCTCCCAAATGCCTTGATTGTCCAGGATACTTTGACCACGGGTCATAAAGGCGAGTACAGAATAGATCTTCTTTGCATAGACTGTGTGGTTGGCCCCAACATACACGAACTGGAAGTCCCTGAGGTCGTCGGGAAAGATGAGCGGAGTCCCTCCAGTTATCTCACTTAGCTCCGTATCCGAGTAATACGGGTCGTGCACGCTCATTAGGACACCCAGCCGGACGAGTTCGCGGGCGAACTTGAGATGAGGGGATTCGATGTGCACTCGAATGTCGCCGCGGTAGCAAATACCCAACACAGCGACCCGATCACCGACCCGGAGCTGCTGCTTAACACGAGCAGCAACCTCCAACGGGTTGCTGGCATCGTAACGGACCGCGTCAGCGGCGAGGGTCAACTTCTCGGGATGTAGAGCTCCTAAGAGCAGGTACTTATTTGCGAGAGGGACACAAGGTCCTCCAGTCCCGAGAGACGGGAAGTAAACGTGATTCCCGAGCCGCCAGTGGGTAGCAGCCAGCTGGAGAGACTCGGCCACATTGGAATCTGGATATGCTGAGGCGATTTGGGAAGCGTACATGGCCACGGTGTGGAAGATGCCATTGTCGAGACATTTGGTCAGCTCGACAACAGTGCACGAACTTGCACGAACAAGCCTCTTGCAAACCACGGAGAGGATCACCTGCATTCGCTCGCTCACGTCGTCTTTCACCCCCGAATATACGCGGACGCAGTTCTCGAGGTTATTATCCGTTGCGGTGAACCAATCCCGTCGAGTGGCGACACCCAGCGGGAGACCGTATTTGAGGCCAAGAGCTTCAGTTTGGCCTGGGATAGCAGTGCTCTCGATTATACAAAGATCTGGTGATAGCCCTGCAATCTGCTGTATAACTGTCTCGATGGCGTCCATGTAAGGCTCACCATTGCGTTCGGTCGGAACTGCGACAAAATGGGCCTTGACGTATGCGCGAGAAAGCTCAGTTGTATCTATCGTCGCTCTGATGTGCCCACTTGCTATGTATTTTTCTATGGGAAAGCCAATCCAATTCTCGAAATTTGGCGGGAAAAGTGCTTCGTTGATTCGAGAGACCTGTGTGGCGTTGATGTCGTATATGATACTTCGGAGCCCTTTCCGTGCGAAATGAGCAGCAGTACTGAGCCCGATGAGCCCACCACCCCAAATTCCAATCGTCCGGGGAAGAGTAGAATCTTCAGCAGAGTAAATTTGTTGGACCGTCGCCATAATGACAGTTCAGCGATCTCGCGTTACGTCTGGAGTATTGATCCTGAAGGCTGAAGGCTGCTTATCTGCTTTGGGTTATTGGGGACGACCGGAAGATGTTTGATTAGCCCCGCCCATGGCCACGTGTCAGGTATCAAATTTACCTTATTTTTTAGAGGCTTAGAGCTAATATAAGCCTATTCTAGCATATATACGCTTCACTGATCAGTGTAAAACTTCCATCCCAAGAACTTAGCCTAAGAAGCTTCATTACCAATATCGTTTATTCCGTCTAATCATCTTCCATTTCCGTCGTAATCTTAACAGCAGGGCGAGGTCAAAAGTACCTGAAATTTGCAGTCTCGGCCGTAAATTTATCTCCCAGCCGATCTATCAAATACTTCGATTCTACCCAACACCTCCTCCGACCCCTTGCCCTCTATTAAAGAAGTCACCGATCTCACTCTTCCTCTGTATCTTCTAGCTCATTTACCTTGAGTTTTCGAAAAAGAGAGGCATAAAACTACATTCTAAATAAGATTCAGTCTTGAACGCCGGCCGTGACGCCAATCCCACCCTCCATTTCAAAATTTAATCCCATTTTTAATCATCGCCACCTCTTCATTCTTAGGACACAAGACCGTGCCACCCTCACTCAACGCCACAAGTGCCAAAGCTTCGTTGCCCACCCAGTCCTTCGGCAAAAAGAAATGCCTCTTGTAGTTCCCGACGCTCGTGCCAATCTCCCACGTGCACAGCCAATGCTGATGGTTGAAAAACACCACCTGATTCTGATAGCTGCCTACGAGCTTTGACACTTCACGCGCGAGATCTTGGATGCTGTTGTCGAGTAGGATTACGCGATCAGGGCCGGGAGAAGGTGGAGTGGCGATTTTGAGATCGGAGGTCGAGATCAGCTCGATGCGGCGGTGCTTGTTGCGGTCTCTGTCGTGGCCGAAGCTGGGTAGAGTTTCGAGGATAATGGATTTGGCGTCCTTAGTTGAGGTGACGCAGTTTACAATCTGGGGGGTGTCGGTGTATGATCTTTGGAGTGCGAGCTCGTCGAATGGGCGTTCGATGGGGAGTTTGCGTTTCCCGCTGGGATTGTTATCTGGATTGATGCGCATCAGGCGTAGGCTGCCATTAGATGTTAAATTAGCGAAGTCAACCCAGTGGAATATGTGAACTTCGCCGGCATCGATAGATACGAGTTGCTTTGGGTCCTTGGGATGTTCGATCCACTTGAGATGGCGTGGTGATGGGTGCGTTCTCGTATGACATATTCGTTTGGCAGATACATCCCATACTGTGTCTGCAGAAAATGTCGAGACAAGGAGGTATTGGTCATTCGAACTAAACAGGAGTTGATTGATGCCATCGTTTCTTATTCTCAAGTCTGAGGGCTTGTAGACCGTCATCTTCGCATCTTCAGAAACAGGCATCTTGACTTGCCTAACCAGTACATGGCCAGAATCGTCCCCGGAGGCAATATACCTACCAGATGATGACCATGTAAGACCTATGATCGCCATCTCAGAGGCGTGGCCTGGAAGAGCGCGAATCTTTTTACCGGTTGCAAAGTCATGAACAGTGATGATACCGTCGTCACACCCGCAACAAAAGCCCACGTCCTTTGGCGCACAGGCGATGGCGGTGATACTGGCACGAACATGCGACGTAGCTGAATCTTTCACAGTTTCGCTGTCCCAAAAGCTGCTACTGGACGAGTTTCGGTCATCTTCTGCGTCAGGCTTTTCGGCTGGGACAAGAGCTTCGGGTTCCCAAACGCTACAAACGGATCCGCGAAGATCATAGAATCGTCGCCCATCTGGACTGAAAGCAAGATCACACACATACCCATGGTTCTTTAGGTAATAAATGGCATGAAAATCTGTAGCACGACCGCGAGAGTAATCCGGAACAGTGAAGACTCTCACCGAGCCGTCGTGGTCACTTGTGAGGAGGTAATTTCCACAGGGGCTGTTTACCATCCCTTTGGCACCAATATTATGTTCCGTTTGCTCATCGTAGACAGGGTTCCAACTGATCAACGTCGTGTTGTGGTAGAGAATGTAGAGATTGCCGGAGTCTGGATGCCACTGGATGACTTCGGGCTGAAGAAAGACTTCTTGTTCTGAATGAGATATCTCGTCTTTCTTGACGCATCTGTGAGTGCGAGACATCGTGTTCAGGTCCCAGAGTTCTACCGGACGAGCTCGTGACCCAACTGCCACCTGCGTTCTATCGGGACTGAAGCTCACACACCGTAAACCCTGATTACCGTTTTCGTCTCCCTTCAAAATGGTACGGAAAGCGTATACCAGGGCTCCTAGCCGCCAGTTGTGGCAAGCTATCAGCTGGTCTTGATAACCAATCACAATATGGTCGTCTGAGATACCAAATTCAACTGCAAGCACTCGATCATCGCTATGTTTCTTAATGGTGGCAAGCTCCTTCCCGGCGCTAACCTCCCATATCTTGATGCTGCTCAAACCTGAGGTGCATACAAGGTCTCCTTTCCTATTGACAGCAACTTCGGTGACATACTCCCCGTGATTTATCCTCCGTAACTCTTCGTAAGTTTCCGCGTGCCAAACAACTAGGCATTTAGCCTGCGGTACCAAGGCTGCGAAGATTTCGCTGGTGGCGAAGACCTTCGAACCTGACTCGTCTGTGCCGACTGAAAGCCGGGCATGGCAATCATCCCAGTCCGGAAACGATACTCCCACCACAGACAAACCACCATGACCATATCTCAGTGACCTTTGAATGACAGAATTGGCAGGACAGAACGGCGGAATCAGCTTGTATATTGAAGACGGGTGTTGGATAAGGTTACTCCCGAATTTGCCGACAATCTTGATTAAGTCCAACGTCCAAAGCCTTAGGAATTCGATATCATCGCCTGGGATTTCGCGTTGCTTCCTCTCGGATTGAGTCTTCCCACTGGCTTTAACGAAGGTTTTGAGATACTGGGCAGCCTTCATGAGAGATTTCAGATCGCCCAGTAGTGCCAGTGTATTGATCCATGTCAGAGCATCATTGTCGAAAAACTCGCAAATAATTGCGCGGAACTCTTTAGAGTCTGTTCCTGCAAGACTGAGATGATAGGCCCAGAACGTGGCTGCATATGATAGGAAAGGTTCCGTTTCATAGAGTAAATTGGACGAATTGTCAGGTGAAGCAACTTTAGCTCGTCGTATCTCTGCAATATTGAGAATTTGTCGCCACTGTCGCTCTTTGTTGGATGAGAGATATTTCAGACAGACTTTTGTGATATACTTGTGGCTTTCGGCCGGTTCTAGCGATACCGAAGGGCTCGTATGATGGTTGACCAGAAACCATCGTGCTGTCTCGTGAATTAAGCTCACCCTCGAGCTTTGTATCTGTACGAAGTCGCCACAGATATGACTGATAGTGTCCTCCAAGCTAGTCAAATCAGGAAACTGGGGTTGAAGCGCCTGCTTCAATTCTGGGATATGGAGCGGTCTGAAGGAGTATGTTGCCCAAGTGAGAAAGGTTGTTGCCATCACTCTCTGCGGCTGTTTCTCGATCTTCTTTATCATATGCGAGTAGAGATCAGTCATCTCATTCGGAAACCCGCTAAGCGTGAGATCAATATCGCTTCGCAGGTGCCACTTTTCCTCGAGGTCCTTGGTAGCCAAAGCCACCCACAAAAAATTCCCGGAAGCTTTCATCATTACCTTGTCAACAATCCTTTGACGTGAAGCAACGCCCTTGGGAATCATTATCACTATGGCATCTTCCACATAAGCTCGAATATCATCATAAGTATCCACAGTCGAAATATTGTGCATAGTGCACTTGAACGATAACTGCTTTATGCGCATGGTGACATCCGTCGTTGGTCGGCTGAGTAGAAGAATCTTCAATCTGGTGGTCGAATCGAGACTCTTCAAGCATTGGAAAATAGATTGCAAAGCACCCGGTTCGGCTTCGTCAATGCCGTCTACAACCCAGTATAATGTCTTAGCCAGTGTCATATCAAGAAGTAAGCCGCAGAAGAGCTTTTCCCACAGTGTGGTAGAGGGCATATTCACGAAAGGAATTCCAAGTTGCTCGCTTAATCGAACCAGGCTAGCTCGGAGCGGGGATGAGGCTCGAGCAATTTGAAAAGCTACCGATCGGAGAAGGTAAGAGGCAGAGCGCTTTGGTCTGTCGGAGAAGTCGAAATTGTGGTATTGGCAAACGTTCTCTCCCCACTGTCTGCGAACGGTATCGGCGATGTATGATGCCAGAATGGACTTGCCAGTTGCCGGCGCTCCTGAGATCCAAAGGATATGAGGGCCATCTTCCTCGTATTCTAGCCAGTTCGTAAACCATTTTCGACGTCTAATCCAACTACACGTTCCATCTTTCAGTTTTGACTTATATCGCTCGGCGGTTTCGGCTACTTCGGATTCGCTGATCGACAGTACGCTGCCCAGTTCCTTGATCTCAGTCGCAACGTCAATTGTTGGACTTCGAAAGCCTACGAGAGGTCAGCTTATAGAAGATTGACAGACAATTCTTTAACGCAAACTCACTATCGTTGATACATGGGGGGATCAAACTACTCAGAATATTGCGAATGTCTTTATATCCAGGACAATCGCGAGTTTCGAATTTGCATATAGTGTGATGGTCGGCCACCATAGGAATGCTCGTCTCGTTCTGAAGGTTGAGTACGCCCGAGTCTTTATCGACGATCTAAGACTTGGTTAGTATCGGAGTAGTTACTAGTGCCAAGCAATTTCGAAGAGCCTCACATATGATGATTTCCCGGTAAGGACAGATGTTTTGAGTGTCTCGTAGAAGGAAAAGAGTTTGAGATCTTGGCACATGTTCGAGAAATCATCGTTGATATTTTGGAGAAAAGGCGAGGTAGATGCGAGTTCTCTGATGTATTCCTTGGACATGTTAAACACTTGCAGGAGCTGCGATAGTGGTTCTGCTCCATTGCCCCCTCGATGTGGCGTGGATAGGAAGACAATTGATTTCACCTGAGAAATCATATCCACATATCCTTTGTCGTTTTGTCCCGTTATGTACGCCTGCACGAGATATCAAATTCGCCATAGGGAATATTAAAAACCAGAGAACTTAACGATGATAATTCGATGCCCGAAGGGGGGATTAGGGCATATTTCTCGATAGAAGGGAGTCAAGAATTGAAGCTGCTTACCTTTTTCGCGACGAGCCCTCCCATTGAGTGCGTAACGAAGATAATCGGGACCTATAAGATGAGGGTCAGTATTTTGCATAGAACAAACTTTAGCGCCACAAGACTATAACTTACGCTTCCTATAGATGGGCTTTGTTGTTCGTATTTCATCTTGAAGAGCAAGTCTTTCGCAAAGTCAAAAACATTCATCATATTCGAAGACCCTCCAATGCCAGCGGCGTATCCAAAGCTCCATATTCGCGCATTCGACAGTTCAGACTCGACTGAAAGCCACTGCGGCCAGAAATATCTCAGATCATGCCCCCATGACCACGATCTATATGCAGAGCCACCTAACCCATGGAGGAAGATGATATCGACGACCGGATTGCGAGGTAAAGACACGGAGTGCAATCCTATGGGATCTTTGGGCCTCTTCTTGGAGCTTCCACTAGCCTGTTGTATTGGAGGCAGTGGCGGTGTCACTATTTGAGATATTTGACGGGTCTCAGGGACGGAGTGACTCCTTTCTCCACGGTCTTTGTTTTGAAAGAAATCCCGGGTTTTGAGGTCGGAAGGGCCAGCATCTTGTTTGCTAGCATCTTCGTCGTATTCTTCGAAGGTGCTTTCATATGCGGGAGGAAATGAAAAGGTATCACGACTTTGTAGAAATGTGGGCCGTGTGAGCTTCTTCTTGAACTAACATATCAGGTGAATATATGGATCATAAATAATAATAGAGTAGGGCAGAACGAACCATTCCTCCATCCATAGCTATGCAAGGCTGCAGCAGTATACGTAAGATCACTTTACTTCCTCTTCAATCATCTAGCATCATTCCCACTTTGCATAGACAGGAAAGCTTGTGACTTCTAGGCGCCGAACCGAGTTTCGAGTATGGTTGAAGGGCGAAAGCAGCCCATAGCCGAAGGGAGAACCACGATGAGGAAGGGTGAATGAGATGGAAGCTGGGCGAGTCAAAGGTTTTGCGGCCCGACCCATTCAGCCTTCTTTCTCATCCCGCGTTCCGGGCCGCCCTGAAGTACGCCCGGAAGTACGCCCGCTGCTGCAAAGCGACGTATTAGAGCTCGTTGGAACTGGCTGTCTGGCCTCATCGTCGTCGCCGCCCCATCATCCCACCCTCCCCATCTCTGACAGCGCATCGATTCTGCAAGCCATCAGCAATCCGAAAGAAAAGCCTCACAAACCGGGCGTGGACGAGGAAGAGGTGTGGTGCCGCGTGCAGGGAAAAAAGAACGACAGCGCCAAGACCCCCTTTCTCACTGGTTCAGCTCGCCTTGCATCGTTGCACGAGAGTCGCCATCGTGTAACACACCACGCCGAGTACGGATTCGAAACTCGAAACAAAGCGTCACATGGAGTTCCCGATTCTGTTCGCCCCATTTATCGATCTGGCCTTTTTATACTTGCATACCTCGCACTCGGCTGTATTTATTTCGAAGCGCCTTGAACTTGCCACCCTCCAAAAGGACCACGAACGACCGGCCCCTGCATTTTGGAGGCGAGCATTCCAACGAGCGAAATGGATCCTGATGACCCTACTATTGTAACAGACTACGTACATCCCCATTCGAAGAATGCTGGGCAACCTGTGGAGAAGATTCTACCCCCAAAGGTTGGAGGTGAATTCCCAGTTGACGAAAACATAATTGCTGGTATGAGAGAAAGCTGTTTGCTTGTGATTTCGATGTCTGACCCCCTCAGCTTTGCCAATCCCCGGCACAAAGCTTCTGACAGCTTACCACTATGGCTCCTCCATGTGGGGCCTGACTGCAAAATTAGTCACCGAGCTTCCTGGAGGCGTCAAAAGAAACTATATGCTGAAGGTGAGACCAAATTTTCGCTTCCCTAGCCGCATGCTTGACTTCAATCACAGATAGTTCCGAGCGAGAACCCAGGCCGAAACATGCTCGAAGGAGAATACGAATCAGCAACAGCGATGCATGCCGTGGTGCCATCTTTTATTCCCGTAGCCCACGCGTGGGGACCGCTTAAGGAAGGCCCAGGATACTTCCTCCTCTCCGAGTTCCGAGAGGTGGGACAGCAACCCCCCGCGCCAGGAAAGCTCACAATGCGTCTCGCTGAACTCCACAAGAACTCCGTGTCTCCGACTGGGAAGTTCGGCTTCCATGTGACCACGTGCCATGGACGACTCCCACAGCTCACTGGCTGGGAATCCTCCTGGGAAGTAATGTTCAGCAAGATTCTGGGGCGAGCCATGGATATCGATCAAGAGAGACACGGCGAGTGGGTTGAATTCAATGCCGTCCGATCTTTGCTTTTCAAGTTTGTGATTCCGAGGCTGCTGAAGCCGTTGGAGAGCGAGGGTAGGAGTATCAAGCCATGCCTCATTCATGGTGATCTTTGGGACGAGAATTGTGCAGACGATATGAATACGGGTGAGCCGTTTGCATTCGATGCAGGTAGTATTTATGCGCACAATGAGTATGAGATTGGGTATTGGAGGCCGATCCGACATCGATTGAGTAACAGGACTTATGTGAGGTCATATAAGAAGCATTTCCCCGTTTCAGAGCCAGGTCAGTCCGTTCAATACTTCGAACACACCAATGCAGCAGACCTGTTACTAAATTGGGTGCTTTAGAGGAGGATTGGGATGACAGGAACTTGCTGTATTCGATGAGGTGGAACATCTCCCTCTCTGTGCTAGTCCCTTCAAGCGGCCAGCGCCAGGTGTGAGTGATCATTTCAACCCACTTATGACGCCTAGACCATTAATGAGATTGACCAGCGTTTTTGAAGATATGAAAGTACTATGTCGGAAGTTTTGTCCGGCTGAATTGAAGAAAGTTGAGGCTCAGTTTGGGCTCCCAGGTAAAAATAGGGTCGATGAGGGCGACGGTGAGGAGGAGGAAGAGGAGGAAGAGGAAGAAGAGGAAAAAGAAGTATAGAGGTCCAGCGTCCAAAGGAGCGATCGCTGGAGGATAAACGCATATTTGTTTCTTCATTGTTCTGCGTAACCGCCGTGATATGGACTATTCTTGCACTCTTCTTACCCTTGTTGAAAATAATATACGTGATATATTAATTGTCTAATTTTCTTATAAAAATCGTAAACACTGGTCTCACGTTGTAAAACAGATCCCAACGAATCATTTTGCAGAGGTATTTATTGCGTAATAAGCGCGCTCCATTTTAGTGTGCGAAAGCACTCATCTTTCACGCCCGACTTTCACCGGGCTGAAAGATAAGGGACAATAATCCCCCGAATGTTGGAAATACCACACCCTCGAATTTGCGTCTTCCTCGTCACTAGCACTGTTACATATCACCGAAGCCTGAGTGGTCTCTCCCAGATTCCCCGATTTCCGGTCAGCCTCATCGCCTGTCGTCTCATCTCATCAAAATATGTCAACTCAAGCTCGCCCTCCACCAGAACCTCACGCCTTCCCCCCATTCTCCGCCCTTCCCCTCTCAGCAGGCGGTCCACGCGGTAACGCCTGGGGCCGCTTCGGGCCCAGCGACTCCCTCGGCATGCTGAACCTCCTCACGCCCCCCGTGGTCGCCGCCGCGGCGCTGGAAATCAAAACCGGAGAGCGGATCTCGCTCGACTGGCCTCTGAACAAGCCCTTGTATCCCAGCTACAAGCGAACCGCATTCCATCATCAGGTCGTTAACCGTGCGAAAGGCGAGGAGTTGAGAGTTGTGAATGATGATGTCTTGGCATTTAATACGCAGAGTACTAGTCAGTGGGATGGGTTTAGGCATTTTGGTAAGTTCAGTTGTTGCAAGATTAGGGGGGTGGGGGCGAGCGCGGTTGAGAAGCATATGTTAATGTTCACGTTGATGTGAAGGGTATTTGAAGGAGAAACGATACTTCAATAATCGGACTCATGAAGATATCATGAGCTCTTCCGTGCTTGGTATCGATGGCGGGTCCTCTCCTCTCCTCGCCTGACTACATATTCTGATTCTACTTAGCCTGGGCAGAGAGCGGTGGCATCGTTGGCCGCGGTGTCCTGCTCGACTATGCATCATGGGCATCGGAGAACTCAATTGAGCTAAACCCCTTCTCCTCAACCACAATCCCGCTCCTTCACCTCCAACGCCTCATCACAGACCAAAAAATCGTCTTCCGCACAGGCGATATCCTCTTCCTTCGCGCCGGCTTCACCGCTGCTTTCAACACCCTCGATGACACCGAGCAGAAAGCTCTAGCGGCGCGAGCAACGGCCGACTTTATCGGCGTCGAGTCCACAGAAGCCACCCTGAAATTCCTGTGGGATAACCAATTCGCGGCCGTAGCGGGCGATTGTCCCAGTTTTGAGAGCAGTCCAGTAAAAGGAGGGCCGGACAGAGATGGGATGTGGTGTTTGCATGAGTGGTTGCTGGCGGGCTGGGGAATGCCGATTGGGGAAATGTTCGATTTGGAGGGGTTGAGTGAGATGTGCAGGCGCAAGGGCAGGTGGAGCTTCTTTTTGTGTAGTGTGCCCCTGAAGGTCCCTGGTGGAGTCGCGAGTCCGCCGAATGCGGTTGCTATCTTTTGAGGTCTGGAAATGGGCTTCATTTTGAGCTAAATAGGATTGCCAAGTGTGCTTCTTTACGTAGGCTTGTTCTTGAATTCATTTCTTGCTATATACTGAGCTATCCTAAAAGTCTTCGCTGTGCTAGTTCTGACTTATTCACATTGATAACTTCTCGCGTTTTAGCTACACACACTGAGTGATTAAGCTACTGTAAGAGTCAACAGTTGATCTATCCCTTCTGATCAATTGTTATACACTTGACCACGCAAGTAGAAATAATTTCGCTTATTTCCTTAGAATATATATTATCTACTTTACTACTATTAGACTTAGAGCTTTAGTTTAAATACCAATACTCTAATTTTATCCATTTACAATATAGTACAAGTGTTAGGTCTGACCTCGAATTTGAAGAGGACTGAAGTTGAAGAGCCCCATGGCTCCAAGTGGAGTTCTGAGGTAATTTTGATAATAGAAAATGTTGTGTTTCAAGGGTGGGTTGGAGGTTCGATGGTTCGTGTTGAGATGATTGAGACCTTGCAGAGTTGCCCTATGATGTATATGGAATTATTGTCGTCCCCGAACCAAGCACTCGAACCCGTCCTTTATTAGTATAAACCCTACCACACCACCCATTGCTGCTTCCCTCGAATAACCTTTCTTCTCCTTACTGGATCAAAACTACCTTTGCGTTACAAGGTGACCTGTTAATCTTCACCTTGGGCTTCAGACGGACATATCCATCCCTGATTGTACAGACTATAACAAAGTCTTTTCTTATTAGTCAAGGCTCTTTGCTAGAACACTCGTATAATATGTTTTTTTAACTAAAGGAGGTGGCAAGTGCACAAACCTTGAGGGTGAGATCCCTGATTGAGAAGCTTCATGCAAGCAGGAACCTCTGGGCCGCATTGACCGAGTGGCTTGTGGTGACCGCATATTCGCTAGCGACAGTGAGATTCTTGCAGCAGCGCGTACGTCAAGGAAAGGTCGACAGCTCCTACGGCGGAGCAACGACCTCCTAGCATAACGACTTGCCTCAATTACCCGAGTCTGCCTCGTAGGGGTTTCAGCTGTCAATGCTTAGTGGCGTGTTGGTTGGGCCGCGTATGCCATTGGAATACCCGGGCTATATAGAGTTATGCTGCTCAAGAATGACGCTACTCATCAATGCAGCTTTCTGCTATCCTTGCCTTGAAAGCTCGTTTCCCTCGTCTGTCTCCTACCTACGTCAAATGTTGAAGCTGTGATACACCCTTTATCGTGGTATCTCTCATGCGGCGTGACAAAACCGCCTGAGCACCGCTATAGGCCTGTCCTGGGTCGGTCGTACTTACCTGTAGTGTATGAATCTCCTAGCTGCGCCGAGATAAATTCTGCCTTATATTACCCTCCCGGGATAGGACAAGTGTCGTATTCACGTACATCAAGCCTGTTCTTTGACCCCTCTGTGCCGTATAGCAGATACATGAATCTCTATAGTGCCTCTGAATAAACCCCCAGCTGATCCTTTCACCTATAACATTTTCCCCAAACTCACTGTTTGCTCGACAACTTTTGTTACAAGCCCTAAGGGCATATAAAAACCATCCTAATTGATATATTAGACCTCATTTCATCTTTCCCAGTACTTTGCATACTACTATAGGTAATAATAGCGTCTCTTACCCCCAAAAACTCGAATTCCTCCTATTCCGGGAGCCAAACCGCAGATTTTATATACCCGCAAGAACCTCAATTACCCTCTAACCTTAACCGTACTATAAAGAGACAAAAGGACCTAAATATGAATTCTCCTCCCCGTCTCGAATTAGGTAGTAGTACTCGTATCTGTACTACTTCTTCCAAGGCTATTTCTGGCTAGCTGAAAGCTCTCAAATACAAAGCCTGTATCTAATATACTATAATAAATGACTTCGCTATTATAGTAAACGCCTTTATTACTATATATAATAGACCAGAGAAGTATAAAGCCATATAAGGTATATATAACAAAGTTATCTGCTTCCTTACTAGCTCTCTTTTCGCCGAAACAAATATCTTTATCCCTTTCCGTATTAAGAGCCCGCCAGGTTCTAATATATTATTCTCTGGCTTAGCCAAGTCGGTTTCCTTTACAAATATAGTAAAGACCCTAAAAAACTCAGGGGCAGATTATTAGATCCCAAAATTGACTAGTACTTTCTTTTCGGAAAGCAGATCTATATTAATTTCCGGAGAAATATCTCTTATTTCCTCTTACTCGAACTTAGCTAATAAAGGCTCTAGAGGCAATAGATATCCAAAGAAAAAAAACTAATATCCCCTTATTTTAGTAAAGCTATAGGCTCTTCTTAATAGGCTAAAGCCTTTTATACTTTACCAGAAACTTATAGCCAAGATTACTAGTATTACTCTGGCTTTAATTTTACTAATTATACTAATCCGAACTAGCTAGGCTATTATTCTAGTAGACCTTACTATTCGGGACCTTTTTAGCCCCTAAAAAAATAGTAAAGTTCTTTTATAAATCTTTTATAAAAAGAAAATTAAATGCCTCGAAACTTAATATAATTATATTATTTCGGAAGTTTTATCTAGCTTCTATTCTATTTCTAGACTTAGTAATATATTAATTTATATTACTTTAGTTATTAAAAAAAAGTCTATATATAAATTATTATTAGATCTATTAGTTACTAATCTTCCTAATATAAACCGGACCTTTAATTTAGTAAAATTACCTAAATTATTTCCTTTCTAGCCCCTATTAATAGAGCCTTTAGACTTTTTAATACTAGTAAGCTTTTAAAAATAATTAAAAAGAAAACGGCTATTTTATATTATAACCCGGGCTATTAAGGCTTTTATAATTCTATAAAATATATAAGATATATATATTATAATATATATAATATTTGAATTAATAAATATATTAGTTTCTCTAAAGTAAACTATATAAAAAACACCTGCTATACTAACTATTATAGACCTTCTTTTACTAAATATAATTATTATCCGGCTGTATTATACTAAAAGAATAGTAAGGTTATTAAACTTATTAAGAAAGAGCTAGATATAATCTGCTATTATAATAATAGAGAGTTCTAGTTATTCTATATATTATTATCTTTTATAAAGGCTATTATATTTTAATAACTTTAATTTTAGGTATAAGACTAGAGAACTAATACTACTAAATTAAAGAAATAGAAAGATATAGTAGTTATAGCCTATAAAAAGAGATTCTTATAAGCTACTATTACCTTTTTCCTACTCTTTTTTATCTTACTATTAAGCCGCCCGAAATACTTTATTACCTTAAATAAAAACTTTAATAACCTTACTCTTTTAGCTAAAAGCTTTAGAGAAACTATAAGTATAAATATTAATAATAAAGATATTAAATATTAGAAAGCTAGTTAAGGCTCTATAATAAATACCTTAATTAATAGCCCAGAAACCGGAATTTATAAGTTTATTAGATAAATATAGCCAAGAGTTTCTTTTACTATATTATATTTCTCTAAATTATATATATAAAAAATATAAATATTATTTATATTTAAGAACCATAAACTTATTTGGGTATTAAAACCTAAAACTATTTAAGATTTAACTATTATATTCTAGTTAACTTATAGAATAATAAAAACCCCGAACTTATTAAGGCTAAAAGACCCAGAATTATAACTTATATTTATAAAGAAAATAGTATTAGAATATAATAATATTATTCGATTTATAATTATAATCTTTTCTAAATAAATATAAATAGCTTTATTATTTTTAACTACTATTAATAACTAATAAAACCGGAGATTATTACTTATATCTTATATCTTATACTATTATCTAATTACCTAATTAGAAATAATTTCAATATATAATATAATATATTTAAATTAGAAATTAAATCTAATTATTAATCTAAGAAACTTATTAGCTAAATAATTACTAGTAATATAAACTTTATTAGGAAACCAGATAAATCTATTTAAGAATTCGAATATATACTAAATTTGACTTTTTCTAATATTCTATTTATTTATATTTCTATTTATAATAATATATATAATAGATCGAATTATAAAACCCAGATTACTATTATTCCGAAATAAGACTTAGTTTCTCTTAAGTAAAACTAATACTAAATACCGGAATCTAAGCTTTCTAAGTTATTAGACTTATTAAAAATAGTATAATAAGGCTTTTAAATCTATAAATTCTATTAAATAAAATATATATTAATAGCTATATAAAGGCACTTACTAAGGTTTTTATTTCCTTAATAGAAATAGCCAGAAAGCCGAATTATAGCTAAGAATATTTAGCTTTTTAGTAAATTACTAAATACTAGAAGATATATTATTTATATCTAGTAATATAAAATCTTATATCTAAAAGAAATAACTTATTTAAGATATATGAATTCAAGAACTTAGTATATAAGACTAAGGAAAAATACTAGAAATAGAGAATTAATAGTATAAAAAGTAGTTCAGACTTATATAAAACTATTAACTAGTATAAGCTTACTTCTAATCTTAAGATATTATTATTAGAAATTAATAGAATTTGAATTAAAGATATATTAGAAAAGGCCGAGGCCCTTTATAAAAAGGTTTTCGGATATTTTAATATAAATAATAACCTAGAATAAAACCCTTTTATTAACTATAACGGAACTAGAAATCTTAACTAGAACTAGATAGTCTTATTTAAAGAAATTATATAAAATACTATTAGTATTTTAAATATCTTTCCCGAAATAAATAATATTACTATTTAACTATTTAAGGCCTATTAGAAATATATTAAATATATTATTTATAAGCTATTTAACTATTATTTAGCCCTTAACTATTTCCCAGAATTATAGAAGCTAGCTAAAGTAATTATATTACTAAAAGTTAAGAAAAAGAATAAGTTTTTAGTTTATTTCTAGAGATCTATTACTTTATTTTTATATATTTTAAAGAGTCTCGAATAAATTATTACTAGATATATTACCTGAATTACTCTTATTTATAGTATTTTCTTTTTTTAATATAAGAATATTTTTTAAAGTACTTTACTATAAATCTTATTAGTACTTTTATTTATAATATTAAGTTTATTATATCTTATAGTATAGAAGTAATTATAGTTACTATAAATATTTAAGGCGCTTTTAATATATTATTTATTAAAAGACTACTTATATATATAATTAAATAAGGCTAGCTATTATTTCTATTTAAGCTTATAAAAAGCTTTTTTATAAACCGGAAGGTCCGAATTAAACTAGAGAAATTAATTACCGGATATTATATTACTAAATATAATATTCTATAGGGCTCTTTATTTTTACTAGTTCTTTATATATTTTATCTAGCCTAATTTATTATATAAGATCTTATTTTATATTTCAGATATATTAATAATTTCTATTTATACCGCGTTTCTATATTCCTTAATAATAATATTAAATTACTAGGCTTAGATATCTATAGTATTTTTATTTATAGAGACAAGTATAAGATCTTTTTTATATTCGAGAAATTCGAAATAATTTATTTTATTCGAAAAAAAAGAATATATACTATTATATGGAATTAATAATAACCTTATTATTAAATCTATTATTATTACTCTAGCTAAAGATAGCTAGCTAGTACTTTACTAGTTTAATATCTGGTTTAATTAAAAACTTATATTTAATTATTATATTATTAAACGGACTATAAAAGTTTATAAAGTTATATAATATATTTAAAGCCTTATTAGAACTAAGAATACCTATTTCTTGCCTTTATAAAATAGTTATTATCTATATTTTACTATTACTATTTTATAGTATTAAAGCATAATATAAAAGCCGGAAATAAATATCTAAAATCTAGTAAATAGCCTATAATTCGACTATTAGTACTTGAAATAAATAATATATAAATGTTTTCGAAAAGATACCTATTCTCGCTTATTATAAAATCTTATTAGTTTAGAGAACTATTCTTATAATTATATTATATCGGAACTCTAGTATATTTTTAGCTCTTATAGCTTTTAAAGAATTAAAGCTATATTTTATAATATAATTATAAATAGTTAATTAATATTACCTATTTATTAGATATATTATTCTATTTAATATAGTTAAAGGCCAAGATATAAGTACTAAAATACGCCCTAAAATTAAAGTTTAGTAGCTTAGTATTTTATTTCCGAATATTTCTTGCCCTAAACTTATAATACTATATTTTACTTCTAATAGTAAAACAGATTCTACTAAGAAATTTAATAAAAAGATAGCTTCGAATAATTTTAAAGCCTAGTAAATAGCTCTTTTATTTAAAGATATTACTATTTTTTTTTAGATAGTTCTAAAAAGAATAAATAAAGAATTAAATTAATAGAATATAGCTTTACTATTTATTAGAATATATAATAAATTAATACCGGTTTTAGCTTAATTAATATACTTTTATATATCTTTAATATAGAGATTATTAGAGCCTAGAAAGGGCTCTTTTATATAATTAAATTCTTACTAGATATTAGCTAGTATTATTTATAGCTCTATATTAATAGTATTTTAATTATTAGATATTTCCTAGATAATACTTTATTCTTTTTATAATAGGCCTTTTATAATTATTAAGGAATTATATTTACTTATAATATTAGAATTAAATAGGCTTTCGAATATACGAGAATTAAAAGAAATAAAGTAGCCAATAAGCTTATAAATATTAGGGCTATTATTTTATATTATACTAGCTTTATATTATAACTTATAATAAGTGAAATATATTTAATTTTTAGAATATTTTATAAAGAAATATAATATATTTAATAAGTAAAATATAGTACTAAACTCTTTACCTAATATAAAAAATAGGGCTTTAATTATTAGATTAAGTTTTTTAAAGAACTTGAGCTACTATATTTAATACTTTATTACTTACTAGTTATTTGCTTTATATATAGAGATTTTATCTAGTATTACTAGAAGTTTAAATATAAAAATATATTACTTATTTATTTCTATAGCCGAAATAAAAACCCAGAATACCTTATTTATTACTAAAAGATAATTAAGAAATTTGTATAATGGCCCTAAAAGCTATTTTTTTATATATTATCTTTTTTAATATAGGAAATATTTAGTTATTTTTTAGATCTTTTAAGTAAATCTAATAACTTTATAAGTTTTTTTTATAATTATAGAATTCTATTTCAAAATCTATATCTACTAGCTTTTATAAATATATATATATACTTTTATATATATATATAAATATAAGCTAGTATGGTACGGCAGGCCGTACTTATTAAAAATCATATTATTTTAGCGGTTTTGAGGTTTAGATTATATGGCAAAGGCCGTACTTATTAAAAATCATATTATTTTAGCGGTTTTGAGGTTTAGATTATATGGCAAAGGCCGTAGCCTTTTATATATAACTTGCGGAAATCATATAAGAAAGCTGGTTTTTCTATAGACTTAGAGAATAATCCCTTATAAGTATTTAATTAATTGAGTTTTTGCATACTATATACTGTTTATACTTTACTGTTTATGCTTTTGATTTGTTATTTTGCTGTCAAGTCACGTTTTACACTCTGGTATACTTTATGTGGGTTTTTGTCTTGTCGCAGTTTCCCTCCCACAGTAGGCAGTTTGCTAAAAATAAGTATTAGTACTAGTATATTCAAAGCAAATGTTTGCTTTATTTACTATCTCTGCTATAGATAGTAGCCGTAATATATAGACCCTGGATTTATATATAGTATATTAACCATGCTTGCAAATAATCAAAGCTATATTAATGCTAGCGAATTGCCCTATTTTCGTAAGCTTTCGTAATTAGAGTATCCATTCTCCTGTTTATTCCCTTATTCTTTCTCTTTCTTCTTTTCCCCTTGTCGTTTCGTTTGATGTTTATAGTATCTATTAATACCAAAAGGTGATCTGCCCAGGTCAGTTTTGATGCACTTCGAGTATTAAGCTTATAGCATTTGAGAGTTGTCTGTTATTCAGACCCTCTATTCGGATGGTTGTCTTTGAGGACTTTCGTATGGTGGCCAACGGGGCATAGGAACCGATTTTGAGCCCATGGTTGTACAGCGAGGGGCTCGAATCGATTCCCGCCAATACCAAAGTGGTGGGGAGCCGCATTTGAACCCTCAATCCTCCAAAATCTTAGCCGAAGGAAGGGCTTAATTGGGCAATGGAGGGCCTGAATCGGCCCCCTTGAATCCAAGTGGTGGGGAGCCAGATTTGGACCCCTTCAGATCTAAAATAGGTTGGGCTCTATAAGCCCTTTTATAGTGCCACTTGTCCTCACGATATGCGATTCTGCTTAGTTCTTGTTCTTTTCACAAGACTAGACAGGGGTTTTATGATTCCTGAAATCATAAAACCCCTACTAGCTCTTAATCGATATTTACCTTCGTGTCTCTGCCTTTAGAGTAGAGAGACAGTAGCAGCACTTAAACAAGACATTTTCTTACGTACGTTGCAAGGCGGTATAGTAACATCTACTTTTATATCAACGCTAAACTCACATGTGCTCTGTGTGTGTTGTGCAGGCTGTATTTCCTGGTAGTTCCAACTAGGAAAACTATACTCTTGCGTATTTTGCTTTGGTCAACATTTAGGCAACATAGATAATTAAAGTAACAGAGCTCAGCGCTATGCACGTGATTCCGGTATTGGGACTAGAGCAAAATTCGGCTGCCTATGGCTGATGTTCTGACCTTTTTGGTCAGATCATCGACATCAAAAATATTTCGGCCTGAGGCTGAGGCATCCGTTTCGCTAGCGCTTCCCAGCATCCAGGGAGCGGATGCGCCAGCGTGGGAGCCGAACATTGCTCTATTCCCAACAGCGCCTGTAAATTCGAAAGCAAGGCTTCTTTTGTCGTAACCAGATATGCGACCGCGTCCCTAGTGGAGGAACTCAACATATCTCGCCAATACTCCTTTCTTTTGGTAACGTCCATCCCTGCGTGCCGGAAAAACTTCATAGTCTGGGGTTCTGAAATCCCCACCACATAAATATATAGAGTAATAATTAGTTTACTATTGTTCTTTAGCTATTTCCCTACAAGGTTTCGACTTGTAGTTAGAAAAATACGGCAGTTGGGCCATGCCGTCGACCGTTCCATTGAGAGCGTCAAAAGCTGCTATAGCTATTACCCATTGCTTTATTACAACTATTAACCTATCCCCGGAATTCGGGGCTGTGGTCTAGAGCTTCTATTAAGTTCAAATCTAATTCTAAAGTTTGAAGATACAGAGTAAAAGGAAACCTGCCTGCCGGATTTATCCGGACAAAAGTGGGTGGTATACAAAATGCCGCATCTTAAGAAGCGAGGAAGGATTTATCGCCCTTACCTAGTACTGTATTCACAGCCACGTGAATCGTATTTTGATTACGTATTTTATTGATATCACGTGGAATTGTGGCGTAGTATGGCGTGCTTCCGGATGTTTCCACAGGCAGCCACATTTCTGGTTCTGGAGAATCTGCCACTCAATCCTTCTAATCCCTCATCCCTATCCCCTAAGGCACGGAGGTAATGCCTTATGAGCGACCGCGCTAGTAAAGCCCTTGCAGAGGCCTCCCCGCCAGGAGAGCCTCGAACATACGATGCCACATCAAAACGCAGTGGAGTTCCTCTGACTACCCTTTATTATCGTGATCATAGGTGGCGCTCGAAAGAAGAAAAGGCCCAAGGCCAACAATATCTCACTCCGTCGGAGGAGAAAGCCCTCGAAAAGTATTTGAAACTAATGGCTGACCTCGGGAATTCTGTGCGAATTAAGTGTCTACCGTCCCTTGCCTTTAGTACCGCCCGCCAGCGTTTGACGAATAAAGTGACCAAGCCTCCGGGCAAGAACTGGGCCCGGGGCTTCCAGAAGCGTCATCCAGCACTCAAATCACGACGAGTGAGGGCGATAGCCTGGGAACGCTATGATAAGATAATACGTTGGTTTGAGGTGATCAGAGAGGTATTACAAGGTCCGGCTATCCAGTTGGATCCCAGATCACGTGCCAGGTAACTGCCTGGTAGGCAGCTGCTGGCGCTAGGCAGTATGAGGGCAGATACAGTACCAGCTACTTATTAGATATAATATTATCACACTTGTATCCTCAGTTCAGAGCACAATCTTTCACTTGACGCCCGCGCCTCTATAGTCTCGCGGATCGTCCTTACCTACAAGGACTTAGACGGAGCCGAGCTTGCATAACAAAATGGAAAGGAAGAAATAACATTTGGTATCCAGTTCGTAACAACTTCCTAACTTCCTCCTCAGCCGTGAAATAAAGGTCTACCATTTTACATGGCCGTTCACTTAGCAGTATTAGAGCTGACTTGTATAAATACCATAAGAACTGCTGCGTACCTGATATTTTGTTAGCCAGTGAAGGTTAGGAGTGATTTAACACTTACGCAGCAGCCGCCGCAAGAGTTTCGAATGATCTTGCGGTTGTACATAAGGTAACCATGCAATAGAACAAGACTACAAATCCTGTGATCAGGCCAAGTTTGGATAATGTGTTGCTAATCACATCGAGAGCCCAGAAGGGGACAATGAACATAATCAGACCCGCAATACCGATAACGATCGATGCGAAAGCTTCGATATTATCATCATTATACCAAAAGGTTAATCCATCAACAACGAGCTCATCGCTTGGTTGCCTCTTAAAGATACCTGGAAAGAATCCTGTTCTCCACCAGACAGACTCAAGGTATCGACGTATAGGTGACTTGGATCTTGGTCGAACAGAAATCAGGTCATCGCTGTGATTAATATACGCAGCCTCATCCTTAGAGATTGCGTCGGGATGGTTCACTTCGAGCCATCGCTTGACGCTTCTGATATCAAGTTTTGGAGCAGGAGGGTGATGCTGTAGTTTGTAGTACTCATTGATAAAGCTGTCTAAAGTTGATATATCAGATTCAAATATATAAAATTGACGTGGGACTAGTCTGTGACGCGACCTACTGTACTTTTCCAGAGCGATGAAGATCTTATCAAGTAGAATCTTGCGGTCCATGAAGATTTCCTGACGGAAGGAACCATTATTATAATCGTCAGGGCCAACTTCAGAATATTTCCTCTCGATGGTGTCAAGTTGTTGTTCTAGCAAACTGATGTCGTCTTGGAGTGCTAGAATGATTCTGGCGTTCAGGGTCGAAAATTGCCGGACAATCAGGAATGCGTCTGTGGACGCAACCCACCGAGAAAACACTCGATAACCAAGATATTTCCATGGACGCTGCTCTAAGTCATACTGGGGGACATTCAATTGTGTTGCTGTGACAGAAGCTTTGCTCGTGTTACAAGCTGAGAAAGAGGGACTGGAGCGATGTTGCAAAGTATGCAGTGGAAGAACGGGATCTGACATTGTTCATGAAGCTGTAACTCTTTAGGAATTGAACGTGGTAATTTATAGTTGTAGTAACTGCTTTCATACAAAGGCTATGTGTGGTCAAGCTCCTAAAGCTGCCTAATCCTGTGCTTTCGTCAAGATGTTGCAAGCGCTAAGGCAACAAAATGCAAGCGCTAAGGCAACAAGGTTACCCAAACCTTTTTCAGCCCAAGTATACACAGCCTCGTGCACCCTTTCATAGCCGCCTCTCAAAGCACCACAATCGCCTACCATGACTATGAAGCTGCCAAAGACGAAATAAATCCTCCGTAATGGGTGCTGCCTACGGCCGTCGTCGACGGCGTAAATGTCATCCACCTCCATGTCCTCCCCCGCCTTCTGATCATGAAGATTCACCCGTCCGCTGGCATAGGCATTTGGGTAGATGGGTGTGTCTCTCTCCGGTCGACTATCCTTTGTTTTGGTATGATAACGGAATTTGGAAAGCGTGGGTCGAGATCCCTAAAGACCTTAGTAGCGTTTACCGTATATTATCTTCTCTCCTAAAACACAAAATTCCATGAGTAACTCTTATAGTGGCCAGTGGGCAAAATACCACCTCGAGCAACGGAGACTTATACGACAATTGGGTACCTGATTTGGCAGCTGAGGAAGTCTGGAACAGTAGAAGAAGTATCAGGTCTGGAGGCAATGATATCCACACGAAAAGGATCAACAGGGTAAAGGAGTGGGTCGAGATTTTTAAATTCAGGTGGTGTAAGTTTTGGCACAGGGAGGAAGCCAGTATCGTTTGTCAAATATGAACTTTATAGTGTTGATCAAACGAAAGATCTGCCATCAAAGCGTCCCGTCGGGGGTAAGAGGAGTACTACGACGCTAGTCAAAGTCTCAAGCCTAAATACCAAGTCATCTCTATTCCTCAACTAACTTCCACCAACGCTCTATTCTCTTCACTCTTTGCTTCGAGGAAATGTCGCACGCAGAAATATTCAGTTACTTGGAATATTGAGTGATATGAGGAGTCAACTGTATCCTTTCTACTTAAGTAGCTGTTGGCTCAATGCCATCACAGTTTCAACGAGCTCGATCTCTCTTGTTATACAAATTAATAAGCTCAAGCAAATGCCACCTGGATTTGCCTTCGATACATCGTCGACGCACAATAGCAGCTGCCTGCAACACCGTCGAGAAGTGATACTGGAGGAAGACTCAGTAGAAATATATGCCACTGCCTCTCTACCGATCCCTGTCAGTGTGCCAAGTACCAGTGTCGACTGACAACACTCATATGTGTCTCTCACTTATTCGAAGTAGGAATCTCCCATCCTATAGCTTCTCACTTTAACAGCGCTGAAAATACCAGTGTTCGACGAACTCCAGTACGGGGTCGTAGATTGATAAGGAGTGTTCAATCGTTGAAGAGTGGCATGCGAAGGTTATTCATGCTCATAAAATGGTTTCGGTGGTCAGCCAGGCAAGACCAGTCACTCATGTGAGGACCAGTCACCTACACAAGACCAGTCACTCTTGTGAGGACCAGTCACCCACACAAGACCAGTCACCCAGGCAAGACCAGTCACCCAGGCAAGATCAGTCGTCCAGCAAGACCAGTCACGTACGGAGAGACCGGTCACGCGCGGGAACACAGGGAGACTAATCACCCAGACAAGACCAGTCGCCCAGATGAGACTTCACAACCAGATGAGATCACTCACACGGGGAGACTAGTCGCCCAGATAGACCGACGTGTCTCGGGACAGTCCATTCCACAGTCCGGCTGTCCCCAATTTCACCGATAAGCTAGGCAGTGAAGCGTGTTTCGGTGCTTTGACAGCTTCCCCGCGGTTCTCATCCTTGATATCGACGATATTTCACCTTCATTACCTGCTCCCGCCAGCCCGTCAACTTCAGCTTTAGCTTTAGCTTCAACTTCAACTTCAACTTCAACCCAAACCGAGCATCACAGGCTTCCTGAATCTCAAGCTTTGAAGGCATTAGCGGCATTTAGGGCTTCTGAGGCTCTACGGCGTCTTGAACGTACGCCTTCCTTTCCTTCCGAACCTAACCTTTCGCAGATTCGAACTCCAATTGAAATATCCTCACCTGACGACGATTCCGATAACGATTCCGATTCCTCCCAGTTTCCTACGATTCAAGAGCTTCACAGCATACACCTCCTGCATCGACTACACCAGCTCGTCCTACGTTAACTGCCCCCCCGGCTCCCGCTCCTCCATTGACTGAACTACTTCACAAGCGTATTCATAAACCTATAAAGAAGCAAGCATCTCAGAACTGCTAGAAGAAGGAGAAATAATACAAGAAGGATACTAGTAAGAAGAAGAAGAAGGCAAAGACAAGGGATATAACGTAATTAGTAAATATATAGATAATGGAATTACCTTTTAGAAGCTTATAATAAAGGGTAAGTATATTGTTAGTTTTCGGGCTTTACTAAAATTACTAACTAAAATTATAGCTTTATTCTTATTAAAACGGAATCTAATATATTAGTATAAAAGCGATATATTGAGAGTTAATAGTATATAGAATAACTAGATATAGTAAAGTAAAGTCTGAAAGTAGAAAAGAAACTGTCTTAAGTAAGGGCCTTTATTTCTATTACCTATTAGTAATATTAATAATACCGAGCCCGCTTTCTCCGATATAATATAAATTAGCTAATAAAGCAAAAGTAATTAAAATAATAATATATTAGTGAGTTTGGTAAGCTTTGCAAGTAACGTATTATAAACAAGAGTAGAGAGTACTAAATTAGTAGTTAAACCTGGTACTAGAAGAACTAGTAGGCTAGCTAGGGTAGCGTTTCACTAATTTAATAATTCACTTCTTATTTCTCCTTCAAATTAGCCTTTTCTATATATAAAAATGGGGTAATTAGTCTAGTATACCTTAATTTACTACGTGAAAATTAGTAAAGTTATAGTTTTTAGTTAAATATATAATTATTATATTGATATAGCTATCTTGGGTCCTTATATATATATATACCTCCATTTTTCGACTTAGAGTTTTTCTGATTGAATTTCAAAGCTTATCGTGCGATAATACAAACCACCACCAAGTGGCAACAGCGCTAGAAAAATCGGCAGAATCGGGCTTATCGGTAGAATTGGGGACAGTCGGACTGTGGAATGGACTGTCCCGAGACCAGGGTAGGGCATAGTGCAAACAGCGGTTTCAGACTGCGGTACAGATTTTTTTTATCAAACTGCGGTGCGATTTAAGTACACTAAACTGAGGCATCTCTCCACTAAACTAAACTACGATTATATCCTCCAAACCGCGGTTTAAACCGCAGTTTACCAGTTTCACGTGACTTTATCCGCTTATACTAGCTTTAATACTAATAATTTTCTCCAACTACTCTGATTCAGCCTCCCACCCTTTAATCTTATACCACGATTTCAAGTACTCAAAGGCCTCAATAATATCTATTGTGGGAGGGAAACTGCGACAAGACAAAAACCCATATAAAGTATACCAGAGCGCAAAACGTGACTTGACAGCAAAATAATAAATCAAAAGCGTAAATAGTAAAGCATAAATAGTATATAGTATATAAAAGCTTAATTAATTAAATACTCATAAAGGATTATTCTCTAGGACTACAGAAAAACCAGCTTTCTTATGTGATTTCCGCAAGTTACATGCAAAAGGCTGCGGCCTTTGCCATGTGACTTAAACCTCAAAACCGCCAAAATAACATGATTTTTGACAAGTACGGCCTGCCGTACCACACTATACCGAGCTTATTTTATAGATCCGAAATCAGTAACTTGGTACTAGAAAACAGACACTCAGAGTCAGCTAATATAGCAGGAATACTCAAGATATCCAATACTATATAGCTAAGATTAGAATAACTAGTTTACTAAGTCTTTTCTAATTACTATACTCTTAAATTAATATTATATATATACTTAGCTATATAATATCTCTTGTATTTGTTCTTAAGGTTTAATATATCTTAGTAATATTTCTTCTACTAACTAAAGGCATTCTAAGTAGAAGCTTTAGTTAATTGAAATTAGTAGAAATTGGATTTATACTTTTCCCAAAAATCTTCTATTATAGCTTATATCTTTAGAACCTATATATAATTCTAATTAGTTTCTATATACTTTTACTTCAAATTAGAATTCAAAATAATAGTAGTAATATAAGTAGAACTCTCCTTAGTTATATTATAATACTTTTCTATTTTTACCTATTCGGAATTATATATTAATACTATTATCTTATTATAATGGCTAGTATAAGGGCATAATCTGCTAAGGACAGGATATTAGAAACAGGTATAAAACGAAGCTAAGCCAGAATTATTTGGACGGAATAATACTAAAGGTCAAGGTATTCTTTCTACTTTATTCTATAGCTTAGTATTTTCCAATATATGAGATTCTTTAAACTTTGAGCCTTTGACTATTATATTAATCCTGCTATTATATAATACTAAGCTTACTCGATTTAGCCTATAAAGGCAATATAATACTGCCGGTAAAGGATCCGTATTTATTCTTGGAAAGCAAAGACAGAATACTGCTTTTAATATTTAATAATCTCCTTGAACTATAAAGAACTAGAAATCTTAACTAGAAGTATAATATTCTCTATAACCTAGTTAATCTCGGAGCCTGACCCTTAACTAGAGCAGATAATATTTCTCTTCTAGTAATTAGTCCTCTACTAATATAAAAGAAGAAAGATATTATCTTTTATAATCCGGTTAACCTCAGAGCCTGATCCTTAACTAGAGCAGATAATATTCCCTTAATACTAATAAGAATAAAAGAACCGGCTTCTTTCTCTAGTATAGGAAGAATTAGTAATAGTCTACTAATTTAAAATAAGAAAAGATAATAGTCGATTTTAGTCTACTGACTTAAAACTAGATAAGATAATAATTAGTTATAGTTTACTAATATTAAATAAGAAGAACTTACTTAGTATTTATCTCTATAGCTAATATCTCTTCTAAAGCTACTATAGATGGCCCGGGGCCAAGTACTACTATTATAGGTATATTAGATAAGAGGCTCTAATATAATAAAATAGAGAAGCCGGATTTTAATATTATAAACCTATATTACCGGAAAAGCTATTATAATACTATTTCGGAAGAAGATATTAAAGAGTAACTAGTTAACTTGGAACTTAAAATTAGTATAAATACTTTAAAAAACAGATAAGGCCTAGTAAAGATTACTTATATAGGATAATCTTATTAACGAATACTGCCTTATAGCTAATAAATAAATAGAATACTACTAGAAATTCCACTTATATATTAACTAATTTACTAAGAAAGTTAATAAGCTAGAGGTAATTACTAGTCGATTTTATATAAGAGAAAAATTAATATAAGAAGAAATAATAAAGTAAAGATCCAAGTAAGTAAATATTTAGAAATACTATTTAGGGGCTAATACTAAGGCTCTTTCTTATTTTCTATTTATAGTAATTAACTATAGCTTATTAGAATTAAGGATTTTGCCCTATTTATAAGTAAGAATAATTACTAGATTAATAACTAGATATTTAATATAAGAAATAAACTAATATAGAACTTTTCTAAGTTTAATAGTAAATTACTAAAAATTACTTATATAGTATAACTAGTTACTAGAGACGCCTGTAACTTTATTTGTAATTAACTAGAACCTAGATTAGTTAGATAGATCTTAACTATTAAATAGATCTTTAAGATCTTTTAATAAGCTTATAGTAAAAATAAAGAGATAGAATACTAGAAAGCAAAAGAGATATACTAGTATTTGAGATAAAGAAATAAGCTATTTCTGGTATTCTAGATAAAGTTTACTTATTTAATAATAAAACTAGGGAAGTTACCGGATAACTAATATAATAATTTAATAAATAAAATAAATCTCGAATT